AGGGCAGAGTGATGAACACTGATGCATTAGATAACTACCATCCAGATGGAAATGGCATGAAGAAGAACTGCACACCAGAGCTAGGCATTTGCCCATCTGATTTGACAGCAGGGCAGAGTTGAGCCACTAATTATAACCTATCTTCTAAGTGTACCTGAACGAAAGTCCAGAACATGAGAGCAGTTCATATGAAATATATTTAAACCATATGCACACCCAAAAGTTATTTAGAAATAAAATGAAAAACTTCAGGGATAAATTCTTCTCTAGTAAACATCTTGTGATATTAATATATAAGGATATATCAGTGCAAAATTACTTAGCTGTGGAGGTGCTATTTTACTAAACTTTGTCCACACATAGTCACATAGTCAAGACTGAATTTTGTATTGGTGGTACTAGAGGTTTGAACTCAGGTCCTCAGGCATTGTACCACTAGGCCATACTGCTGGCCTTTGTTTCTTTAGTTATTTTTCATATAGGGTCTCCTGGGTTGGTTCTACTTTGTTTTGCTCTGTCTCTGGGCTGGCCTGGATTCCAGTCCTCCCATTTATTCCTCCCACATAGCTGGAAGGACAGGTGTGGATCTCTCACCTCAGGCCACTAGACCTGGCTCATTGATTGAGATGAGGTTCACTAACATTGTCATTGTTATTATGCTACTGGTGAGGAATCCATTCCTCAGTCACTCAGACTTCTTTAAACATTGAAATGAGATACATCAGTAATAATCTGGCTGAGATCTGAAGATCACCATCAGGAAAGTCCACGGGACTCTGATCTCCATTGTGACTCAAGTGATAGAAGACTAGTCTTAAATGAAAATGTTGAGGGACAGTGCCCAGACCTTGAGTTCAAACCTCAGCATTGGTACACACACACACACACACACACACACACACACACACACACACACACACACATATAAACAAGATACTCTTATGATACATTTACTAAAATCATACAGAACTAATGGAGATTTTACAGGTCTTTCAGCCATCAATAAATTAGAGACATGGTCAATTTTCATGGATGACATGACACCTCCAATCTAGAAAAGAAAAGCTTGAGTATGGATATAAAATTATGAAAAATAAATGAAGAGGACTTTTTATACATAAATCTCCTTCCTTGGATGTGGAACCAGAATCGTACACCGTGTAGCATAAAAAAATTTCATCCTATACGAAGTCCAGATAGATTTTGTGCAAACTACAGTAGTAAGAGAGAGACACATCAATAAAGCCTAAAATTCAGTTCTAAGTATAATAAAGCCAAGTAGGGATGTATAGCCTTCAAGAAATGTCAGGTGATAGGAAATTACTAAGAGAAAATTTCAAGGATTGGAGTATGCTTACTAAACTAGCCCAACAAGATTTTTGGTAAGGACAGATAAGGAATAAAATATCAAGAGTGGATGATGAAGAAGCTGACCAGATACTTAGAACTGTGGGATTCTTGCTAAGAATTGTACCAGTTCATTATAAAACCTGGGCTCAGCAGATCAGCGTCTGTCTGTAATTAAGAAGAGAGCTCAAAGGATATGGCTAAAGATTGACAAAGGATTGAGTCTTCATGAGATTTTTAATACAAATTATTTTTGACAAGATTGACCTCAATCCCCCTGAACTCCACCTAGCAGGTAATTCCCTCTGGATAAAAAGTAACATAAGAGCCTTCATTTTGAACTGTGCAAATGCATATTTCTAAATCCTCTAAATTTTTGGTTGTTGTATGTGATTAAATTGATTTAATGACAGCTTTTTTATGCCCTGCTCAGATCTCTTCTGATAGATCTGAGTTTTTATTTTCATCTAGTGTTGATATGAAAAGATTTAATAGAAAGCTCAAGAATAGAAATCCTTGACAGGATTGAGAGAATTAAGAGCGTGATGATCGCTCTATTTTACCAACAACCTTAAGTGGTGGGAAGATGAGAGCAAATCTCTATCCTTTAGAATCTATTAAAAATTCTGCTTAACTTAACACGGTGTTTCTTGACATCGTAGTGACAGTCACAGAGAATCCTTTTTCATTAGGACTATCCTGGGAAATAATTGAAATTATCTTCTTAGACATGGCTTATCCTGCCATCTGTGACCACGGCAGAAAATTAAACATTGAATTCCACCACACGTTTGAGCCTAATCTTCTGAGGTTAAACAGACTACTCAGACAGACAGGAGAAAACAACCTCAATAAATGCTTGTTTACCACAGCCCAACACCATTGCTAGGATCTAAGTGATCCCCACATTTTTAGCATTTGCAGATCAAAGGGAAGACCGAGAGATAATCTATGTGCCTTTTGACAATTGCTGTAACAGATCACATGGCCCAAGGTGCTGTTGGAGCATACAAGAAAGTATGTGTCTCATTGTGTGGGTTGCAGTGTGGATGTGTTTGTATGTGTGAATGGGGCTTTGAACAGATGTTGGAGGAGCGGAATAGCTGCTTCTCAACAGGGAGAAGAAAAGTCAGAGGCACAGAAGTAATGTACAAGCTGAGATCAAGAAGGAAGCAGGATTAGAATGCATGCTCCTGAAAGTGACATCAGAAGCAAGGACCTAAGAGCCAGAGAGAATGTATACTTGTTTAACAGGTTAGACCAATGATTCTCAAACCTGAAGTGGACATATAAATCACCTGACTTTAATATCAAAATGCAAGTTCAGACTCATTAATTCTGGGAAGGGACCTGAGAAAGGACATGTTCTCTTAGAGGCTCCCAAGAAGAATGGTGGTGCTGTTCATGGGCCAGCTTTGAGCCCGAGTGCATACACAGCTGTGTCTAGTGACTGAACTTTATCTCTCTGGAGAATTCACTGGCTGGACCATTTTTACTATGATGGTGACCTACTTTCTCCCTCTGAAGGAATTCTTGATACTGGTGGTCCAGTGACAACTTCCAACACTAGTTATTAGTATGTGGCTTTATTCTTTATGGAAAGCTACATTATTCTTTATAGAAAGGTAGGCTAGTTTAAGGTCTCTTTTTCTGGCTACGTGTTTGTATCTTCTTTCCCACTTTTTCTGTCTTCTCATTGAAATGAGAGACAGAAACAGCTTCAGCGTGAAACCCATCTAAAAAGATATACTTAAAGTCCTTTAAAAAGGATGAACTTAAACATTGCCAACTTGTCAAAATCAAAAGGAAATGCCATGAGGAAGAATCAGCAGCCCTGCTCATTTGAAGCACATTAGAGGTCTGTACTTTATCTTGAGGCAGATTTTGTAAATGACCATTTGAGCTCATTTTAATTAATGAGTGACATTAATATCACCTCCATCTCTACTTCAACATCTAACTGCAAATGTTGGGCCTTGGTGTTGGAGACCAAGGACAGAGTCTTAGCAGTACCCCTAAGCTTCACATCTCTGTCCCAAAGGCCATGAAACAAATTGGGCTGAGTTGTAAAGTCAGCTATGAAAGGTTCATATCCATATCATGTGATACATTTTTGAAAACATGAGACATAATTAAAAAGATATCTAATGTGTTTCTGGAGATGAACAGCTGCATTTGTGCTCAGTGTTGAAGCGATGGAATGTATTATGTCTTTTGTTAGGGTAATGTTCCATCACGGGATCTATTTCCTTATTCACTTCTCAGAACAAGTACATAGATGTGAGTGCATATATACATAATTGCATAGATCTAAGAAAGCTATACAAGCTTAGGGTAGAGTGAATGCTTCAGAGAAGCCAAAAAACTTTCACATTCCTTTCTGAACGTCCATCTGGAATTTCAGAGTCAGGAAAGCAGAACATTCTTCAGGTAGACTGTCATTTCTTTTTAATATATGCGTTCAATGGCTCTTAAATTTTGAGGGACATCTAAGCATACTGTATGCTATCAGGCTGTCTAGCTAGAGCCATACAAAATATGCTTGAAGGGTAACTTAAGTAATTTTCAAGTCGGATCTTTTGCTCTTCTTCGTTTCCACATTATCTTCTAATTTGAACCTGACCTTTCTCGTACCAGTAGGATGGGATTCTCCTCCAGAGGAGTTAGAGAGTGTGGAAATACTGGGGGTCTTTTAAACCATTTTCCTTCAGGAAGAGTAGCCTAAAGTCTTTCTGAATTTTAGTTCTCAGTCTCCCTGACGCTTCTCCTAGGATCACCATCCTATCAGACATGGGGAATGCCCTAGCTCTGAATATAAGTCCTGAAAAGGCCTGGACTGAAGTAATCCACTAGTTTACCAGGTCTGCCTGTGGAAGCAGGGCAAGGAGCTATTTTCCTGTGGTCAAAGCCAATACAAATAAAATACACGATTTGAGAGATCAGTACATTTTTAATGTTCAAATTACTGTATTTTCAGCAGAAGAAAGTGTTTCAGAAATGCTAACACAAGCAGATGTTTGTATTTAAAAGAGGCATCATTTTATATGATCCGTCACATAATAGGTAGCAGATTTGGTGATCATCTCAATTTTTATCACTCCCCGGAGATGTAGGAATAATTCTAAATCTATGGAACCATGTTTGCTTTCATACAAAGACATAGCCAAGCCCGTCAGTATTTGCCAGGGACACAGTGGAGGACGCAGTGAAGTCACAGCAGTTTGGAAACAGAAGAGCTGAGGGACTTCCTGTCTCCAGCCAGAGATGATGAGCGGATAGCCTGGCTTTGCTGAACTTTGACTCTCTTTCCTGGAACTACACTGCATCCTGGGCTAAAATTCTATTCTTCACCTCACTTTAAATATACAGTGGACATTGGCTATGTTAGTACCAGCGGAGCTGAATGAATGTGCAAGTGAAAAGGTTTTATGGTTGAGTCTGACAACTGCTTGCTTAAGAAAAGTTGCTAAGACTGTAAGAAGTCTGAAGAGATGTGATTGCGTCCAGGTGAGCGTGGTGTTATGTTCACATTAATGTAGCCAGACATGGTCCCACCCCACCTGTTAGAAAAGCATCCAGCATAAGTCACCCAGGGGAAAGGATGGTTTTTAATAAATCCTGTCATGCTTTATTCTGCACTTTCAAGTGGAGCGATGACTCACTCGAATGTGTTCTCTTTTGTGTTTGGGGAACACAGCAACTTGGAGTCACCACTGATGCCCGAAGCTTTGGAGCCTCCACAGAGCAGTGGCAGACCAGGAAGCAGCCCGGGAGCTGCCATCACAGCTTGTAAGAAGGTAACCTGGCTCCATGAAGCCACTTTCTTGCTACCAGTTAAACCTGCACACTTCTTGACGTGGACCTTTCTGAAGGAAAGCAAATGAGAGGAAGCAAATGAGGAACATTTTGCTTTCCCACATGAGCCTTAATGGTGATATTCATATATATTTATGTTTATATATAAATATATTTATGTATGAAATGATATGTATATATCAAATATAAATGATATATATAAATATGTTATATAACTGATATATATATATATATATATATATATATGTATATCATGGAAATGATATTTAAAAAGCTCAGGCAATTCACGGAGGTACAAATTGAAAATTATTGGCCTCCATGGCCATCACCTACCTAGGACCTCGTAGCTCAGCATATGAGATTCTTGAAGTCACACGTTACAAGTGACTTGGCATATAATATAATGCAGCACTTGACTTACTCTAGTAAATCATTTAAAATTATTTCATGACTCCTTAGGTTATTTTTTTTAATTTGGTAGAGTAACATTTTAGTTATGGCAATGAAATAATTGCTAACAAGTGCTTCCTTAAAATAATTTTAAAATAAAGTTCTTGTCTTGCCTTGTAGGAGAGGCAGAGTTGCATTTGCAAGAATACAGGCTTTAGAACTGACAATCTTGCCTTGAGGTACTTGTAGAAAGTTGTCAATTCTATAACCCCAAACCATCTCTTTTCCCTCATTTCTCCTGCCAATCCGACTAGAGCCCTCCAAATTAAAGCAAAACACCCAAGATCCTAGTTTCCCCCATATATTGCCTTTTTCTCATTATTTATGATTTCCAGATGAGCATATGTTTCTTCTCATTCAAAGTTAGTGGAAAGCATGTTGGATTATTTCATTTATTACCACAAAAATCAATGATAAAAATCACTCCTATATATAAATCAAAACAAATTATGTGGTTAAATATATAAAACCCATGCCTGCAATGCACCTTATACACACATATATGTATATTTATTTCATGTATATAAAATGTATAAAACATTGTGCTCCATAATCGCTCTTACTTATTTTCTGCCTATTTGACTTTTGTATCACTTCCCAGATTTTAAGCTTTAAAGAAAGTGACCATTATCAGCAGCTAGAAACAGTGATTATAGAAAAGCTACATTGAATATGATTTTTCAGAAGTATTTGTATAGTGTGGTACTCACCTTTCCATGGTTGTGGATAATACCTGAAACCAATAACCTCTTAAAAAAATTCATTTTAGCTAATGGTTTCAAAGGCCTCAGACCATAGTCACAAGGAGCGTCTGCCTCTGGGCCTGTGGAGAAGAACAGGAGCAGTGCATGATACTAGCAGAGGAGGCTCTGCTTACCCATGGTGACCAGGAAGTGAAGAGAGAGGAAAAGAGACCAGGTTTCAATATCCCCTTCAGGGCATGCGCCCGACAACCTAACTTCCTTCTATTAAGCTCCACTAGCTCCCAATAACACCACAAGCTGATAACCAAGCTTGCAATAGTCTTCAGGGGAACATTTACTGTCCAAACTATAATACATGACTTCATCCATCACAAAATATAAAAACAAAAGTAAGTAAGGACTTTCCATGCCTCACGCTACATGTATTAGGTATCTCTATCTGTATTTCTAGACAGATATAACTATAGAGAGATGGATCTATAGGGATATATAAAGATCTTGGTATCAGTGATATACATATCTGCATGTAGAGTTCTATAGATCTATTCATAGAGATAGAGATGTAATACAGAGGTATCTAGATAGTGAAAGAGAGAATATAGATGTGTTTGAAAATAGAAACTCATCTAAAACTCTATTAGATTTAGGAAGGGGATTTGCCTCCAACTCAGAAGAGTTCACAATCTGATTTAGTAGATAATATTACTTTGTCAAGTGAAAAGTCACTTTAAGTACTCTGTATAACTATCTCAACACAGTTTATATTACATGAACAAACAAGCATTTTGAGCATTGAAAGCTGAGGTCCAAGAGAGACCCCAGCAACCAGCACAGCAGGTTTGTGGATGTTGATAGTACGTGGGCAGATGGTCTTGAGTATAATGGATGGGTAGAATGTACACCAAATTCAGCAATGACTACTATGAGCTGACAAAATTAACACTTTTTTAATATATCTTTTTCAGTAATCACAGTGTGTTCTTTATATTTCAAAAATTCTCAACTTACAACTGCACTTAAAAGTCTACTTAGTAGTGATTAGACACATATCACATACCATGAGGGCTGTAATTGTTTTCCTCCCTTTCCAAAAAGTAATTTGCTCATGTTTGGTCCCTCTTTGCATTTAGAAAAGTGGTCCGCCATAATAAGAGATTGAATGTTGAGTTTTACAGCTTTATTCATTATTCCATTCTTATACATTATTGCAAACTAATGTCAGTGGTCACTGACACGTTTTAATCTTATTAATCAGGGATGATAGGGCTGAGGAAAGGATCATCTGTAGGTCCGAAAATACTTGTATAATGTGTGTTCTTAGACATAGCCAGGCCGTCTAACTGAATCTCTACCCTTCACAGTCAAACTTCAGTAAAAGGAACATGGATAATTGAAATCTACTAGTAATTCTCCAGCCTCATCTAATGTAACAGGCTTATCGTGTTCTCCATCAAGCCTTCTTATAAGGACTGACAGATTGCTAACTTATCTGGCAGATGAAATAAAACCAGGGACCAGAAGAGAATACATTATCTGGACAGCAATCCTCTGAGAAGCCGCACATTGACTGGATTTCTTTCATGTGTTTCATGATGAATCCCTCTGAGCTTGTGACTACTACCCAAGTGCAGTTGTGTCAGCTCTGATTTGCTGTTGGAGAAACAAATTCTGCCACCGCTGTGAAAAGACACAGCATCAGGAGCAAAGTTTGTGAGGGATTTATTTGAAAGAGGAACTCTTCAACATATAGTTTTGGGTTTGCATGCTGATTCTCAGAACTAAGGTGACCACATTACAGGGTAATAGTTTGCATGTATTGTTATGATGTTTTGCTAACAGGCCCCCTTTTGCCTTCAAGCGTTATCCTTTTGTTCTCAGTCCTCCTAGCTCAAGCTTCAGAATGATCCTTTTCCCTCTTCCTTCTTTTCAGTGCTCTTCAACTGATAGATAAATTCAGTCAAGTGTTAGGATTGCCCGGCCTAATGTAGTGGTAACAACGTATTTCTATTACAATGTATGTTTTCTATTACTGCTACGCTCCCTTGTTTGTATCCCTTGAGTCATATTGCATGCAGGCATTTTCTCATGTCCTGTTTATCCTATGACTATTCCTTCTCACGAGACAGAGAAAACCACAATTGTTAAATTGATATATAATGGATTTTCCAGTAAACAAAGTAAACCATTATACACTATTGTTTTGTATATTGAAGCACCACTTGAATGGTCTTTAATAGATTTTTTTAATTAAAAATATCAAGATCTGTTACCTGTAAAGAAGCAATGGGTGTTTTGTAACAAATGTGAACTTGGATTCCAAATACCTGAATGAGCTCCCAGGTTTGTTTGCTTTTTCCCTCGTTGTATGTTCTTAGGCCAAGAACATAATATCTCTAACTCAGACCATTAGGGTTGGTATAAAAGTTTTATAGTTGATGCTCCATAATTCCAGGTAAATGGTCTTTACCTAAGGTCAAACTTTATTTAAACAGAGTTAAAGAATGCACCTGCATGATATCAAAGGAGTTAGACTTCCTTTTACTTTGAAAGCATTATACCCCCTGCCATATTTCTTCAGTGGCTAGACATTTCCAGCCCAGGCTTTACTTCACATAGGGAAGATTTGTTATTTGAGACAGAGTGGAAACAAGTCTTCCCCCCCGCCCTCCCCCCCCCCGCCCCTGTCTGTCATAGGGCTTGAACTCTGGGCCTGAGTGCTGTCCCTCAGCTCTTCAGCTCAAGGCTAGTGCTCTACCACTTGAGCCACAGCACCACTTCTGGTTTTCTGGTGGTTTATTGAAAGTCTCATGGACTTTCCAGCCTAGGCTGGATTTGAACTGCCATCCTCAGATCTCAGCCTCCTAAGTAGCTAGGATTACAGGCGTGAGCCACTGGCTCCTGGCTTGGAAACAAGTCTTTAAAGAGCATTGATGTGAGAAAAGAATTGTTGGAGAAAAATCAAAGCATCAAATAGCCTTCTCTTTTCATTGTCATGACAATTAAATCCACCTTTAACTTGGGCTTATCAAAACCAGCATCCTGAAAGCACTCCAGGTTCCCAGACACCTCACATTCCCAGAGGCACAGTGTGATCTTAACATGGCATCTCATCAGCTCCTTGAAGTGTCACCATCATTCTTTACCATGACTGACCGCTTTTTAACTGATGTCATTTGCTTCAGATAAGTCTGGAGAAGGACAGGGTGGATGAATGCCTTGATCTGTGATGCTACCTTTCAGTCTGCAAAATGTTCTTTCATTTCAGTCTCTATGATGGATGACAAGTAATTACTAAAAGTTAATTCAATTAACATATGCATGCTTGGACATTCACATTATGAGGCTATTTTCAGAATCCCATCCATAGCTCTAAAGGCATTTCATCCTAATAGACAAAATTGTGTTGGACAAAAGCTTCTATACTACTATCAAGAACCTAAGGAGGATTTTGGCTGTTTTAAATAGCCAGATAATCACATGATATGAAATTGTTACAGTATTCTGTACTTACAGAAGCTTTTTCCTTTAAGAAAAGAAAGACTTACAGAACAAATACATGAACAGTTAAATGAGTGAATAGACATATTTTAAAATAAGCATGACTGGGCTTTATTCCTTAGAAGGCCTTAGTTTTTGGGGTTTTTTTGTTTTTTTGGTCAGTCGTGGGGCTTGAACTCTGGGCCTCGGTGTTGTCCCTGAGCTCTTCAGCTCAAGGAGAGTACTCTACCACTTGAGCCGCAGCGACACTTCCAGTTTTCTGGTGGTTTGTTGGAGATAAGAGTCTCATGGAGTTTCCTGCTCAGGTGGCTTTGAACCGCAATCCTCAG